AGAGACAGAGACAGAGAGACAGAGAGAGAGACAGAGACAGAGAGAGACAGAGAGATAGAGACAGAAAGACAGAGAGAGTTGGAGAAGGTGTTTTGAGGTGGAGGAAACCTAAGTTGGTTTAAAAAACGGATGCAGACCTAGGGAAGAACAATTGATGGCAAAGTATAGGAAGCTAGGGAGAGAGCCTGGGAGGGATGTTTAGGGGCAGGTATGAGGGAGGGAGCAGAGGTGTGGATGGAGGGCTGGTCTGGGAGAGGCGGAGGGAGAACTGCTCTAGAACCTAAAGTGGGAACATGAAGAATGGTACAGATGTAGATGTAGGTTTGTGGTGGGATGTTAAGGGAGACTTCATCTTGAGCTTCTATTTTTTTCTGTGAAGTAGGAGGCAAGGTCTGCTGAGAGTGAAGAAGAGGTGGTGAGGAGCTGGAAGGAGGGAGGAGAATGATCATTCAGAGTCAAGAAGCAGCTTGCCCAGAACACCCTGGAGTCTGATGGTCTTGATGACTGAGTTGAGGCTGATAGTGGCCAGAGTGTCCTGTTCTATCCTGCCTTGTTGAATGATTTCTGCAGCCAGGGCTTACCTGCCCAGGTGCAGGCAGGGGAAACATCCAGAGGGGCTCATCTAGGAAACAAAAGTGCGTGAAACAATACAGTATGCCACCTGTGGGCCCTAGGATCTAAGCTGGTAGGGAGGGCCTCCAGATGTGGCTTGACTGCACTGTTCCCTGCTCCCACTGAGTGGCTGTGCACAGTGGGCTCCCACTCATTACAGGCAAGTGCCTTGGGGAGAGGGCAGAAGTGTGAGCCAAGAAGGAGCTGAGTACACAGTATCCCTGGCTGACCCTGGAAGGAGTGGGGAATTAGCATTAAATTAAAAAACCAAATCCACACTAAACCAGGACACTGTAATACCTCTGTCTGGCGACAGGTTGTTGGTTTCATCCATAATAAAATTCATTGTAGGCTGTCTCTTCTATGGACCATTTCTTTATTTCCTGAATTTTCCAAATCATACCCTTCAGTGAATTGCCTCAGGGCCCAAACACAAAATTAAAACATTAAACCCATAAAATACAGCATAGCAACAATTAAGGCAGAAGGAAACAAAGCAGTGAATTAAAAAACATTAGCCTCAGGAGCTTGTCTGTACTGGTGAGGAAAAGATGTCTTTGTTCATGGTAGAAGTCAGAAGCTTCCAGACCACTCAGATTCAAGTGCCTCTGGGCAAAGCAGCCAGCCTAAGTTACCTCAGGCTGCCAGGCAGGGCAGGGTTGGGCAGGAAAAGAAGGAAAACCTACAAAAAGGAAGGAAGTTCAGGAGGTGGGCCCTCCTTCCCAACAGAAAAGGCTGTGCTACACAGGTAGGAAGTAGCAAGATGAGGAATCAGTCTAGAACCTTTACCACCAGGTTCTGTTGGGCCAGTCTCTCATCCTCTCTGGACCTCAGAAATTTCCTTCTGTTAAATGGAACTATGAACAAAGGCTGTTCTAGCACTGGACTCTGTAGAAGGGCCTATCTAGGAAGGCTGCCTCTGCCGGCTTTCC